CACATTTTGATCTCTGGTCAAAACTCCGAGTAATTTTTACAAAAAAAGCAAACTAATAGTTCTACAACTGTAGTCATAAGTCTAAATTCAGGCTTGGCCAAGCAAAACGGATCTCTAGGCATTGAAAACACTTTAAAACTCCTCATGTTCAAGCCCTACAACACGCATGAACCTAAGTATCAAACAATATTACACTCCAATACACATACACAGGTCATAAATCAGGAATTATGATACGTTTCACAAATAGGATCAGCTGTAATGAAAAATCAAGGCGAATTTCCGTATGCACTGGTGCATTCACTTTCTTTCTATTATAATTAGATGCAGAAGCAATGTAACCGAGGCAGCAAGCTTATGGATCTATTTTTTTAAAAATTTGGCTAAAAACTCTTTTTTCAGGCTTTTTACATTTCATTCGAAGTTATAAGTCAAGGTCGATGAACTTAGCCTAACATGGGATCATCCCATCGATGATCCTACCGGCGTTTTGGTATTCTCGGCGTGAAAATAAAGACAAAGCCAAATCCCTTCCGTATTTATTGTCTGTGAGAAGCGGAAACGCTCATAATATAGCAAAAATGTCACAAATAATAACAGCAACCACACGCTGTCTAGAATGTCGATGGCTTCCTTATAGGAACTTTGGAATTTTGAGGGCAGCCCGTGTACAATTTAAAGATTTCAAATTCAGTCCCCAGGCGAGCGTGGTTCTCACCTACGACCTCACAAAAACTTTTTGGCGGGAAAACTGTCAACTCGGGACTCAGAAAAACTGGAAAGTGAAATTTCGACGTTTTTTCGCCTGTCCAAGTACCACGTAATTGCACAATTAACTCCCTGAACTTCCAGACCAGTATGTAACAAATCCTACCTACTGGGATTCCACGCAATCTTATTACAACACGAAATACTACAAAAACGCATAATCGCACTGGCTCGCCTAGTCCGCGTTGCCAACGATTTTATTTGCGTAGAGCGACATGAAATACATGAACCACAAACCGAAAACAAGCCCAGCCAGTTGCAGCACCGTAACAATGATGCTTTCACGAAGATTGCTGTTTATTAATGCACTCATTGCTTCACGTATTTCTGGAATCTGAAAGCACGGGGAATTCATAGTCAGGAGAATTAGTAGTTCCTTGAAATCATGCAGTTGTAAATTTTATTGTTAGTAATAGAAAATGCCGTTACACCGTGCCATGCCAGACAAAAACCCTTAAAATTTCGAATCTGTGCATAGCTGTTCCTGGAAAAGGTCGAAGATTCGGACCGGTGGCAGAATAATCGATTCCCCATTCGTTTCTAGAACTGGCACATTCCAAGGAGTCATATCCGCCATCAGCTTGCTTCCACACAACCTTTCAAAGAGGAAGCCATAGACAGACGTGTCAACCATATCTGGTTGCTCTTGGCATCATCAACCACTGGAACACATTCGAGCGCCTTCGCCATTCGAAGAGAGCGAATTCGGAAGGGGTTAATTTTATTATTGCAATTTCAAGGGGGCAGAACAAATGTTAGGATCGCCAGCAGGCTGATGATAACAATAAGAATCAGCACTGGCAAAAACTGCTGGGAAAGTAGCCAGATGTGTAGTTGGGAAAAGACGCTGCGAATAGCAGCTTATCAAATATTTGCTTGGTATTAGATGATAAGTGATCTCTTAGTTCAAAGCGAAGTAACTGATACTATTTTAGGATTAAATGTTCGACAGTAGGAAGAAAATTGGACATATTAAGGAACCTACAAAACGAAGCATATATATACATGTGAATGTATAAGTACATAAATATTTAAGGGCACTCGGACAGGGGTGTTTCGGCCCACAGTAAATTTAAGAATTCTGAGATAAGTGCTGAAAGTTAAATTTTTTCTTTTCGAAAGTTAAAATTCATTTTACAATTCATGCTTAAAGCAT